CAGGAGACCTGGGAGGAGTGGAGGGAGGGGGAGCTATGGTCAGGATATATAGTATGAGAATAGAATAAATTTTAAAAAAAGAACAGAAATACACAATATGAAAAAAATTCCCTAAACAAGAAACAGCAAATTGTCTTGCTATCAGCTAGGTGATGAGAAGCACTTCACAGAGAGCTGCCCTGAGTGTGCAGCACGAGGTCCAGTTCCCTGCCACACATTTCCTTCAGACACAGGGCCTGGAAAATTGGACTATGACCTAATATGGACTAAATAAACAGGATTTTTTCCTTGTCTGCAATTCCTGTTGAACCAATTGTAATAAATCATGAATGGAGGTCCTGATGAAGTGAACCATGGTTGAACTAATTGTAATGAACCATGAATGGAGGTCCTGATAAAGTGAACCATGCTATTTCTAGATGCTGCACTCCCCAGACTGTGTACTGTGAATCAGAATATAAGTTTAGAGTTGGAGGGTAACATTGTAAAGGATGTAAATCATGGGTAATTCCATCTGAAGTACAGAAGCACCTGAGTGAGTGAAAACCAGTGAGACATCTCTAGAAACCAGGGCATCCTACCATCTTTTGTGTATCTACTAATACTACTTGTGTAAAGGGTATTATGTGAAGCCTAGTGCTTTCAGGAAATAAAATAGCATGCTTTGGGTTTGGAGAGATGGCTCAGAGATTAAGAGCACTAACTGTTCTTCCACAGGTCCTGAGTTCAAATCCCAGCAAACACTGATGGCTTACAACCATCTGTAATGAGATCTAGTGCCCTCTATTGGCATGCAGGCAAAACACTGTACACATCAATCAATCAATCAATCAATCAATCCTTTTAAAAATTGCGTGCTTTGATGCAAAATCAACAAGTTTACTGGAAGGAGTGGGAAAGAGGAACTAGGCCATTAGAGAATTCAGCCCTGAGACCCGAGATCTTTGCATTCTGTGCAAGCATAAAGTTCCACATGCAGATATGGTTTCTGGAAAAACAAGACCACAAGAGTAAACACTGGGTCACTGTAGGTACCACATCATTTTTAACTGAATTCACATTCAAGTTTTGAGACCACATTCTAGAGGACCATTGGCCCCTCACCATTGTGTGGGCTCCCACTTCCCACTCAGCTGACTCCAGCAGGCGGGAAGGCAAAGCTCAGATCCTATTCCTTCTGAAGCTGCTCCTCTGAGCTCTCTGCTTCCCACTGTCTTCATAACTCACTCATGGGCACTCTCCACTCACTGTATCACTGGCCACATCCTGACACAGCTCTGGTCAGCAGCTGTGGGAGGAGGTTGTCTCTCTTCTTATGCCTCTCTTCCTTTGATCCCTGCACTGCTCAGCTGGAGCCTCGTGGGTTCACAGCACTGTTGGGAACAGTTGGGACAATTATTGGATCACAATATACCAGAGGAAAACTAGTTACTAAAAATGGGATCATTTGAGTTCCTCCCACAGATGTCTTCCAGCTCACACCCACATGCTCAACCTTCAGTTCTTCCAAACACTTGCCTTCTTGAAATCTCCTCTAGCTACTCCCATGTTCATACACATAACAAGCAAACAGCACATGCATGAACACCCCCCCCCCACACACACACACACCCATGCCTGGTCTAACCTATGCAAGGAAGCTCCTTTCAACATTATGAGCCTCTAAATGCCAGCCCACTATGAGCCAACACTACGCACAGGTGCTTCCTCACTCTACACAGGTGCCCTCCTCACCATTCTGAATACCCAGTTCCTCCATTATAAACCTCTTCTCACCTAATTGCAGTTCTGACTCCCCACAGGAAATGACTTAGTGAATTGATACTCTCCTCAACATGCTGGAGCACAGACTCCCTACAAGTGACCATTCCACAGCATAGCTGCCCTCCTCACCTCTCAGGCTCTGGCGTCTCACATCAGACTGCTGCTTGTAGAATCTCTCCTGTATCCAGACACTTTCTCACCAGCATGCTGACATTGCCCTCACTGCTTGGGCTCCAGTTCTGCTGTCAGGCCAGCCCTCAGCAGGGTCTCCCAGACCCTGGACCAGACCATTGCTGCCCCACACCTGATCCTTCCACAGACACCTGCCTTGCCCTCCCTACACCATTCTTTATTCAGTAAGTTACTAAGTAACTGAGGTACTGCAAGGATGGAAACCAGATATGACAGAATATGAAGTTCTGTATGATTATTGAACCTATTGAGTATTTCCATGGTGATAAATACGCCTACATACCATTCACTCCAATCACAGATGCTCAGGGTTTTTACCCTCTCAGTAAAATATATTTTTAAAGTTATCATACCTCACATACATTTCAGTAAGTCATGCACAATACTCAAGTGGCTTTCAACAACAAATATTTTTCTTTTGCGTATGTCCTAAGTGTGTCCTAAGTCCTAAGTGACCTATGGGTCACTGTAATTCTGTTCAGTTTCTTACCACATTTATCATTTGGGAGCCAGGTTCATAGAGAATAGCAACTTCTTGTAAGTAGAATGTGCAGTAGCCTCCCATATTTAGAGAATCAGATTCATTCTCATCCTTTGGGCCAGTGAAAGTCACCTGGACAAACCAGCCAATTGGAGTTGAAAGCATACTCTATATAAAGAAAGATGGGTCAAAGGCATTGAAATGGTCCTTTTACAGAGGACTATGAAAGCACTGGGAACCAGCATAGCATCTACACCTAATCCCTTTACTGTTTACTCTGGAGATGTGCATTATTGGGTTTCAAAAAGGAAAATTAGTCCCATCGGCAGAAAAGTGGTACCATGGCAACACAAGCATGAAATACTAAAACTTGTTGGAGAGATGGCTTAATGGTCATGAGCACTGGCTGCTCTTCCAAAAGTCCTGAGTTCAACTCCCAGCAACCACATGGTGGCTCACGACCATCTAGAGTGGGATCTGATGCAATCTTCTGGCATAAAGTCATACATGCAGACTGAATACTCATGTACATGAAATAAATAAAATACTCAAACTTGTGCTTCACTGATCTCTGATAGTGAAGTAAACTAGTGTCCTATGGGTTAGTGTTGGGTGTCTGTCATGTACACCATGGGGTCTGTCATGAAGCAGTGTGGGAGTGCCTGGGACAGTGATGGTGCACATTCTCCTGTTCACCAACATCTGCATTCATATTATTTTATATCTGACCTATCGAAGAAAGACTTTGTCTAGACTTTTACCCATTTCATGGGAGGTTACCTCTCTAATTGTTTGGAATTCCTAGAGCTATTTGGAAGTCTGTTTTATCATGGTAGGCCATAAAGCTTTATACTGCTCAGTTCTTTCATAGTTCATGTTAACAAGACAATTCATGTAGGGAGCTCACTGCTTCAGAAACACTGACATTGTGATTAAAGAGTTGAGCCTTTGAGCCATGAGATGCTCACCCTATCAGGGAAGTGATGCTGAAATTTGAGTTCACTCTTTCATCAACCAAACACTCACACCTATATAATAAATTCTGATAAATCTCTGAACATCAGAGCTCAGATGAATGCCCCGGTTGGCCTGTTCAGTATACGGCCACTCATTAACATTCTGGGAAGGACATGCATACATGGGGTCCATGGAAGTTCCCTTTATGGGCCCTCCCCGACCTCACCTGATATGTTCCTCCCTTTAGTTCTGCTTTGTATCTTTCTACATAAAAAAACTATAATCCTAGTAGAACAGAATCGTTAGTTCAGTGTGTCATCCTAGAAGCTCATAAATTTGCAGGTATCATGGGATCCTGGGACTCTGCAGACAGTTGACTTGAAGTAATGGCATCCTTGGGAACTCCTGAACTTGAAGCTAGAGTCTGAAATGAGGACAGTCTTGTGGAGGCATGGCCTGAGCTTGTAGAATAATTTAATTAGTAAACTAATGAAATGTTTTTGGCTATGGCTTACCAGAACAGCCATAAGAAACATTTTGAGGATGGCTGAGGAAATATAGGTAAGATCACACATCATCTGAGAAAAGAGTTGTTAAATTTTCTAAGAGTGATAATGGTATTGTTTTGTTGTGCAATGACAATTTCAGATGCTATATACTGAAATATTGCCTGAAGTGTTATGTATCAAACTAGCTCTCAAGTGCCCTGTCAAATAACATGTGCATATATACATACACAAATATATATATATATATATATGTATATATACGTATATATATATATAATTATCAAAATGTCAACAAACATTGCTATAAATGGTAATTAAATGAGTATTGATGATACCAGCCAGTCAACTTCTGTTTCAAAATATTTGTGATAAGAATTTTAAAAGGCTTCCAAAGTGTTAAGCATCATGCAGGCTTCCATGGGGCATGTGGCTCTCCTCAATGTCCATTCACAGGGCAAAGGCTGTCCCTAATGCAACAGACACAAGGTGGGACACCAAGAATTACAGGCAGTGCCAGTAGAAGGTTGGCTATCATCTTCTTTTTTTTTTTGGTTTTTCGAGACAGGGTTTCTTTGTGTAGCTTTGCGCCTTTCCTGGGACTCACTTGGTAGCCCAGGCTGGCCTCGAACTCACAGAGATCCGCCTGGCTCTGCCTCCCGAGTGCTGGGATTAAAGGCGTGCGCCACCACCGCCCGGCTGCTATCATCTTCTTAAACTTGCTCTTGAGGAAGGTCACCCAGTCCAGAATCAGCCACCCATTAGAGGCTCACATCAGCCTCACGGCACCCACAGCACCTGACACACTAGCCATGGAGACGAAGTTCCTGAATGGGTCCTGGTAGTGCAGGTTTGGGGGACAGGAGAAAATGCTGATGGAAGGGCACAAACTGCCAGACAAAGTGTGAGTAAGCACTGAGGATCAAAGTGACAATAGGTAACAATGTCACCCTGTCGGTCTGAATTTGCTTAAGAAGATCTTAAATGTTCTAACACCACACACACACAAAACAGACAACTATGTTAGGTAATAGAGGGTATAGTTAACTTAATTGTGGTAGCCATTGTATAATACATTTCCATATCAAGTCAAGACAGTATGATGTAAATGTACATTATTTATTTGTCAAGTATACATCAATAAATCTTAAGACAGAGGAACAAAGAGACAGGGAAATGGCTAGAGGGTCCACACCATACAACTCTATCTTCAAATAAGACCTTAGGAATCCAAGAAAGGACAGAGGCTGGAGTGCTTCCACATATGCACAAAGGATCCTGTAGAGTCTCTAGAATATGGGAAATTCTCATTATATAAAGAGTAAAGGATGAATAAATAAGTATATATGGAGACCAGTGTTATCATATGGATAACTGTTGACTGCCTTAAAATTCTATGGACATCTATTCCACAAGAAGATCTATCCAGGTATCTGTGTAAAGCTGGATAAAAATGCAATCCATGTCCATGGAAAAGGCTTGATTCATAAGTATATTTTCTTCACCTGACAAACTGCATTCTGTTTAACACTGCAAGGGATGTCATTCCAGCCCCAACCAGAATTTCGATGATTTACTGTAACACATTGTTCATGGTCATAGTTGGGCTCACCTGGGTGCCAGAACCTGGAAGGGAGGAAAGAGCATCAGGATGTTTCCCAGGTTGATGCTGGGGAAAAGAGAGCAAGAGTAAGCAAGATGAGGATGCGGTGGAAATTTGTGGAAATCAGATTCAGGTGTGTACAAATCAACCGTTCTCCACCACCCATGTCTGACATGTCCCTGGAAACAGGGCCACTGCACTCAATATTCTCTTAGCTTGTTACTTAACTGTTCTCCCAGAACACATCCCAGGGTCTACTTCATCCCTAGGTCTTGGTACCCAGGGACTGTCATTCCATGTGCTTACTTACATGATGAAAAGGTCTCTCCTTCTCATGCTGTAATAAATTTATTTTAATTTAACAATAGTCTTTTTTGAGAGACTGGAGAAATACTTAAAATAGTTCAATAATCTACTTATTTCTGTAATCTAGGACAAGTAATTTACTACCCTGGATTCCTACTTTTCTTCTCTGAAAATAAGAATGAGAATAACATTACTAGCTATTTCTCACAACAGAAATCAGGAGAGAATATGGGAACATACTAAGGTATTAGAGTTTTTAAATAATTACATAAATATGACATAAAAATATGAGATTGAGGGCTTTTAATTTAAGAGAAATAATCAGTTATGATCTTGACATTAATTTTTATTATAGATATAAATAAAATCTAGAGAGATGGCTCAGTCATTAAGTGTGCTTGCGGCTTTTCCAGAAAACATAATATTTCTGTTTCCAGCACCCATATTGGCACAATCATACCACTTGGGAGCTCAGTTCCAAAGAATCCAACACCCACTTACAGGCTCCATAGGCACCCAATATACACATGGCACACAGAGAGACATAGATATACACACTAATAAAAATGAACTAAATCCTATTGTTAAATATATAGATGAGAGACTGAAAATGTAATAAAATTCATCATGGTATAGCACCTTGGTTGGGTGCCCTGGGTACTTATCATCCTACACTCTTCAAACTCAAATTCCTCATCTCTTCTGGAGTATCAGTGACATGTGTCTCACAGGACTCTTTGATGAGGAAATGGGGATAAAGTAACTCCATCCCCAGCACTCACACCAGGAGTAAGCTGTTTTAGTTTCATAACCAACAGCTGGAACACCCTAAAGTCTTCTCATGCTACAGGACCCAGGACTCCTCTAGGTAACTCTGGACTCACGTGGCACTTTCATTGTATGGTGTCTGATCAACCCATCGCCACTGTCGGTGACCTGGATCGGAAAGCCCAATATAATAAACAGCTTTACGATCCAGGATCTTGGTGATAAAATCCTAAGAGGAAAGAAAGATACAGCATTCAGCCTGGATGGAGTGATTCTTTTTCTATTATAGAATTTTTATAAGATCTTTTAAAAGTTATTTTAACTATACAAAATTATAGGTCCAATATGATGATATATGCAAATATGTAATAATCAAATCCTAGTTCATCTCTCTAGGCCCTTAAATAGTTTTCAAATTTTAGATTAATACACCTTAATTATACATTTTAGAGGTACACTGTGTTACTTTGACTGACTTTTTCTGGTCACAGGGAGATGAGAAGACAAAGAAAGGATCAAGGAAGAAGATCCACCCCCAACCCCCAGGAGTGCCATCTTCTCCAGCTGACCAGGACACAAAGTCATCACTCATGGGCCTGATTTCCATGACACTGGAAACAATCTCCGTTCATGATCATAATGAATTCTCATCTCAGACTCACTCCCCTCTTTTCTTCATCAGCACCATTCTTGAAAGTTGTGCATGAGAGAATTTAGCAGATTTAAGCATTCTCCATTCATAACCTCAGATATTTCATTTCTAATGGCTGGCTGTGACTCTCCTGATTTGATCCTCTTTCCCTAGTCAGCTCTGCGCCCTCCTCTGTTAGGCAGTGGGTACTACAGGAAGCATTAGAGTGCTGAAATCACAAACTGCTCTTTCAAGCAGAAACATTTCACCCTTCTCTCCACCCACAGATGTTGCATTTCTGTTGCCATGGTTCCTTGTGGGTTGTTCAGCTTCACTGAAGCAGGGACAAGGTGTAGAATGCCAAGGTTGAAGTAACCTTTCCAGCTTTCTAATGGAAAGGTTTCTGCCACATCAGCAACACCCATGTCAACAAAACTCCCTCTTAGTAAAAAGAGGCAGATAGCAGGCCAGGCCCAGGCCCCACTCTCTCCCAGGATGCACCTGCTCTTCCTGGCTGTGGATCACCATCAGATGAGCACCCATGCTGGAGCACTTCTCCTCACTCTTATTCCAAGATGATGAGTCATTCGATATGAAGTAGCAGTGGGAATTAAATGGCTTCCAGTCCTTTGGGCAACAGCTCCAGACTTTGTCTTTGGGGGAAGAAGGAAATGTAAGTGTAATGTCATAGAGTCATTTTAAAGCCTGCTTGATGTGGAGACAACATGGAAGCTGGGACTCCACACTTCTCCAGATACAGCAAGGAGCCCCTCCCCATCAGATGCCAAGCAACCCCAGTCTACCTCTGTCTACACTAACATCAGGACCCCGTTGTCCTACTAGGGTGTTGTCAGGATAACATAGTGTCATGGACACCCAGACCCCGAGGACATAATCCAAACTGTCTGGGTCTCTAAATAATAGTTTAGTTCCTGGTATAACTCATTATATCAAGATCCAGAAAATTTCATAGTTTTATATGTTGTATTTAAATAATACATATCAATAATCATGGCAGCAAAATTCTGACGATTTTTAAGTTAATGATGATAAAAATACTTCACAAAAAAATTACAAAGATTCTAGAAATAAATTTAAAATAGAATGTCTTAAGAAAATAAAAAAATAAAAACCCAATGTGTGTAAATACAACTTTTTTTCATTTTTGAAAACATCATTTTAATCATTGCATAGTGTTTCATTACAACCATACATGAATATATTTTTAACAGATCTCTTTTTTGCCAATTATTTAGGGTGTTGCTTTTCTTTACATACCTATTAAGAATAATAGCAATAGATCAACTTTGTCTACACTAGTTAATTGTGTCCCAGGGAAAAATTTTAGAGAATAAATTGCTGTGTCAAAGGATCAAGTGTGGTGTAAATATAACTCTTTCTATGTGTAATAATGTGTTTTGCCATTTTTGTAATTGAAAAAATTGATAGAATAATCTTTTTTAAATGCAGTGGTTATAGTAGAATGGAGGTGACAGAGAAATCAGGAGAAACAAAAATCATAGAAATTGAATTATATTCACATACTCATATATATCGCTATGTGCTTGTACGGATACAAAGAATGTCAGAGATGAGAAAACAATCACAGAACAGAAGGAGACAGAGAATGGACGGCCAGAGCATGCAGTGTTCAGTGAAGAACTAAGAAATTACATTTGCAGTGGTAAACGTAAACAAGGCTCAGACAACAAAGACTATTGTGCACCATTATGAAGAACTTGGATAGATATAGACAGATATATTATTCTGTCTCTTGAGAAACCTAACCAAATATTCCACCATAGTGTGAGCTATATGTCCAACATCTTTTCAAAATTACAATGTGGAAAATGGATTTTAAAAAAGATCAATTTTTACATTTAATTAAAATATAATTATATCATTTTCCCTCCAGTCCCTGCCATGTTCCCTCCTCCCTCTCAAATTCATGGCCTATTTTTACTGTTCTAAGAGCTGCAGACAATTAATACCTCCTGAGAGAGGGAGAATTAATCTTTTCCAGGGATGAGCCTCCTAACTGGTTATCCAATACCAAGTGGTTAGCCTAAAAGGGTACACTTGTATCAGCCGAACACAGCATAGCAAGGTGCAGTCAGACTAGGCATAATCCCTCATATCAGGCCTGGATGAGGCAACCCAGTAGGAGGAAAAAGGTCCCATGAGCAGAGGAGGGCCGCTCTTTTCTAAAGGGAAATGGAGGAGCAGTGGATGTGTAGGGTAGGGGAGGTGGAGGGGTGTGGAGGAGGGGAGGACAGGAGGCTGCAGCTGGGATGTATTGTATGAAAGAAGAACAATATTTTTAAAAAGAAATAAGAGATTCAGATGATGAAAAAGAGGTACACTTTTAAGTGGCCTACCATAAGTGGACCATCAGGTGATAATAACAGTCTGTAATAATTTGTATAGTTTAGACCTTGTATACTATATAATTAAACTAGCATTTCACACCTGTCATCTTCCTCTCCAAAAATAATTACTCAAATTTTAATATAGGAATATCCTGTAATATATCAGATCAGTCATCCTCAGAACTAATATTCACATCATTTAAAACAAATATCTTCTGAAAACTCATCCCAACCAAGAGAAAACTGAAGAGATGTGACAGCTAAATACAGTTTTGCCATCCCAGATGAGAGTCTAGTAATCGTGAACTTCAATCAGGGATGATTTCAGTATTCACCTGCTAGCTGTAGCAACGTTTGCTTATAAAGATGTTTGTATAGGGGACAGTGTATGTATATGTGGGGTTAGAATGATATCTTTATATCACATGAAATCGTCTATAATTTAAAAATGTTCTCAAGGAGTCTATTAATACTTTAAGTAATTTGTATTCATGATACAGTGCTTCATCATTTTATTCAAATTATATATGTGTATATATGCATATATATACATATATTTTAAAGTTTTCTTTATTCATTATGTATACAGTGTTCTGTCAGCATGTATACCTGCATGCCAGAAACGGTACCACATTTCATTACAGATGGTTGTGAACCAAGATGTGGTTTCTTGGAAATGAACTCAAGACCGCTGAAAGAGCAACCAGTACTCTTAACCTCTGAGCAATCCCTACAGCCCGTGTGTGTGTGTGTGTGTGTGTGTGTGTGTGTGTGTGTGTGTGTGTGTGTATGTGCATGTATGTGTGTGTGTGTGTGTGTGTGTGTGTGTATGTGTGGGTATGAGTGTGTATGTGTGTATGTGTGTATGTATGTGTCTGTGTGTGTGTGTGTGTGTGTGTGTGTGTGTGTGTTTGAGGTAAAAAACAGCAAATGTGCAGAGACTGTTCAGGAAGAAGCAGACACTAGAAAAATCTAAGAACAACAGAACCCTTTCACAAACAAGACTTGTGTAGACAAATGGAGGCATACATATCAGACCTTCTGGTCTGATATAGATGTACATGTGGACTCCACATCTCAGCATGGGCCACCTGGGAATCTATTAAAAATATCACATAACTCAGGCAGATATCCCCTATTCAAGTGCCAGCCACAGCAGCCAGAAGAACCAGTAGGCAAACTCAGGCAGAGACTCAACTGCTGGACCAGAGGCCACTTGGCCACCAGAACTCCAGATAGACCTCCCGCCCCAGGACTTCCTCCACTCTCTTAGTGTACCCCAGATACTACCCCCAATTGCCTCTCCCCTAATCACAATGTCCCAGCCCCCAATTCAGATGGAGAGCTCATGCTCAACAAAAGGCCAGGCCAGCAGCCATAAGTTCAGCCCTCAGCTCGGGAGAAGAACCTCTGTTCAACCATAGGCCACACAGAATAAAAGACCAAAAAGGACAGAGAAACCATAAATAAAACACCCACCAAAGATAAACTTGACACCTAGTCGTAAAATCACCCCAAACCCAGATACCTGGATGCTAGAGCAAGAATGCAATCAACAACAGCCATGGTGATATGTCACCACAGAGCCCAGCTGTCCTACTACAGCAAGCCCCGAATATCCCAACACAGCCAAAGTACAAGAAAAAGACCTTAAACCAACTTTATAGAGGTGATAGAGGGCCTTAAAAAGGAAAACTGAATAAACCCCTTAAAGAAATCAAGGAAAACACAAACAAAAAATTGGAGGAAATGAATAAATCCCATAAAGAAAGCCGAGAAAAAACAAACAGTTGAAGGAAATGAATAAAACTGATCAAGACCTGAAAACGGAAATAGAAGCAATAAAGAAAACACAAAATGAAGGAATTCTGGAAATGGAAAATCTATGTAAGTGAACGGGAACTACAGATGCAAACATAACCTAGAGAATACAAGAGAGGGAAGGGAGGCTCTCAGGCATTCAAGATATGACAGAAGAAATAGATACTTCAGCCAAAAAACATTAAATCTAAAAAATTTCTGACACAAAACAGCCAGGAAATCTTGGACTCTATAATGAGATCTAACCTAAATATAATGGGAATAAAATAAGGAGAAGAATCTCAGCTCAAAGGCCCAGAAAATGTTTTCAACAAAATTATACAAGAAAATTTTCATAATCTAAAAAGGAGATGCCTATAAAGGTACAAGAAGCATACAGAACACCAAATAAACTGAACCAGAAAAGAAAGTCCTCTCACCACATAATAATGAAAACACTAAGCATATATAACAAATAAAGAATATTAAAAGCTTGAAGAAGAAGAAACCAAGTAACATATAAAGGCATACCTATTAGAATTACACCTTATTTCTCAGTGGAATCTATAAAAGCCAGAAGGGCCTGGACAGATGAACTGCAGATTGTAAGAGACCATAGATGCCAGCACATACTACGATAGCAAAACTTTCAATCAACATAGATGAAGATATGTTATATCATGATAAATTCAAATTCATATAATATCTATCCACAGCTCCAACCCTACAGAAGGTACTAGAAAGAAAACTAAAACCCAAGGATGTTAACAACACCTATGAAAACACAGGAAATAAATAATCCCACTCCAGCAAAACCAAAAGAAGGGAAGCACACACTCATACACACACCACGACCACTATAACACCACCACTACCACCACCACCACCACCACCAACAACAACAACAAAATAACAGGAATTAAAAATCATTGGTCATTGATATCTCTCAATATCAATAGACTCTTTTTCTTAAGAAAAAAACACAGACTAATAGAATGGAAGCAAAACCAGTATCCATCCTTCTGCTGCATACAAAAAAATACTCCTCAATATCAAAGATAAACATTACCTCAGAGTAAAGGGTTGGAAAAAGATATTCCAAGTAAATGAACCTAAGAAGCAACCTGGTGTAGCGTGAGTTTTCCTGCCTGGCCCAGAATCAGGACAAATCTCTCTTACCTGCCAGTCCCACAGCCGCTCAGACCCAACCAAGTAAACACAGAGACTTATATTGCTTACAAACTGTATGGCCGTGGCAGGTTTCCTGCTAACTGTTCTTACAGCTTAAATTAATCCATTTCCATTAATCTATACCTTGCCACATGACTCGTGGCTTACCGGCATCTTCACATGCTGTTTGTCATCATGGTGGCTGGCAGTGTCTCTGACTCAGCCTTCCACTTCCCAGCTTTATTCTCCTCCTTGTCCCGCCTATACTTCCTGCCTGGCCACTGGCCAATCAGTGATTTATTTATTGACCAATCAGCAACACATTTGACATACAGGCCATCCCACAGCAACCTGGAGTAGGCATTCTAATGTCTAACAAAATAGACTTCAAACCGAAATTAGTCAAAAGAGACTGGGAGGAGCACTTCATACTCGTCAAAGGGAAAATACACCAAGATGACATTTCAATTCTTAACATCTATGCTCCAAATTCAAAGGCACCCAAGTTTGTAAAGGAAACACTACTAAAGCATACATCACACATCTACGAGGTTGACCCTATTAAAGACTCCTAGTAATGGAGTCTGGTGGTGATATGGAGCCTGAACTGGCCATCTCCTGTAACCAGGCAAGGCTTTCAGTGGTGGGACTGAGATTCCAACCCAGCTACAAAACCTTCAATCTACACTTTATTCTGCCTGCAAGATGTGCTGGGGGAGAGGTGGCACAGAACTTGTGGGAGTAGCCAACCAATGACTGGTCCAACTTGAGGCTCAAGCCACAAGAGGGAGCCCATGCTGGACCCTGCCTGGATGGCCAGGAATCTGAAATGGGATGGCTCAGAGACCTAGGGCAGAGCTAAACATAAAAACAAAACAAGCAAACTAAAGTCAATGAACTGATTTCTAACAACATTCCACTATACTCAAAGACTGGTGACTAGCCTATTTGTCATCAGAGAGGCTTCATCCAGAACTGATGGCAGCAAAGGCAGAGACCCACAACCAAACATTAGACAGAGCTTGGGGAACCCTGCAGAAGAGGGGGAAAGGATTTTAGGAGCCACAGAGGTCGAGGATACCAGGCTGCATGTATGTTATGGTTGTTAGCTTGGTATTCTTGTGGGATTCCTAAGAGTGGGAGTGGGGGTGTCTCTGACTCTTACCTGCTCTTGAGATGTTTTTCTCCCACTGGGTTGCCTTGGTCAGCCTTGATATGAGGGTTTGTGCCTAGTCTTGTTATAACTTGCTGTGCTGTATTTGGTTGACATCCCTTTGGAGACCTGCTCTCTTATGAATGGAAACAGAGGAGGAGTGATCTAGGGGAGAGAGGAGTTGGGGAAGAGAATTAGGAGGAGTGAAGGGAGGGGAAACTGTGGCTGGGATGCAATGTATGAGAGAAGAATAAACATAAAAGGAAGGAACAAAGGAAGGAATGAAGGAACAAAGGAAGGAACGAACGTAGGAAGGAAGGAATGAAGGAACGAAGTAAAGAAAGATTATTTGAAACCATTAAACTCTACAGCAAGAAAACAGACTCATAGGTGCTCTGATTCTTACCAGATGTGGGTGGATCGTCTTTTTTGCAGTTCAATTCTTTGTGAGTTATAACTTTGTGAGTTAAACTTATAGCTTTTTTTTCTTCAAGAAGCTGAGAGTATTTTTGAAAATAAACTGTAAAAGAAAAACAGAAACAAAACCACTCATTTTCATGAAAATATTATGGCTTTGACTTTCTACTTACTGGTACAAAGATCTACCAAGTCCCAATTACATAAGTAGACAGAGCCTAAGATTCCCATCACCCCATAGTCAATGTAGTCCTCAGCCTCCTATTTTGAAACCACAGGTACTTCCAGGACTCAAGAAAGACCATGATTTGAAAGGCAGGACAGGCCCACTGTCATGACTCTAAAGGGAGTGAGCCATACCCTTCCATGTTAACATAAGATGAAAATGCTAACTCTTGGGGGAGATGAAGCAGACATAGATAATCATATTTAAGGATGTAAACTGCCTTGTATTTGGGAGGAAAGGGGGTTAGCTAATTCTGAGTAGCTATAGGCTATTTTAGAATAGGAAATAAAAAAGAACTCAACATGTATCTATGGAACACTGTTTTCTTCCTTAAACCCTCTTCCTTTTGACCAGCTTACTCCTCCACGCACACGCTCACTCTCTCCCGGTTTACACCTGACTGGCTTCTCTCTAGAACTGAATTTCTTCACTTTCTTCCCTGAGTCTTTTCCTCCTAACCCCAGCACTTTGGCTTCCTCCATTTCACTCACACCAGGTTTGAAATGGATCATCAAAAATACCCAAGGGTACTTAATTAGCCATCTTGCTATTGTACTTGACCCAGTTCTCCTCCTCTGCAGCTCTTAATACATTGTTCTGTCCTGGTTTTACATCACCCTTTTATTGCCATTGCTTCTTGTTGTTTTTTTATAATCTCTTTTCCCTCCATCCATGCATTAAAATGTAACACTTCCTACAGTCTTGTCATGATTCTTCCTCCTCATACAAAATCTTCCTGAGTGATGCCATGTATTGCTATGGTCTTGCCTGCTGCCTATATGTGCAGGATTTTGTGCTCACTAAACACAAACATATTAGGTTCGACTCAATATGCCCAAAACTTAAATCAACACGTGCCAACTTAAACCTATAACTTATCCTTGATTGTCTACCTCTTTGAAAAACTTCATGGTTGCTGAGTTTACATCATCAGAATATGAAAGTCACACTGTACTTCTTGGACCTTTTATTCCCTGGATCTCTATATTCATCAGCATCTACTTTCTTGGTGTTGTGCTCTTTACCATTCAAAGTCACCTCCTCTCATGTTCTTCAGACACTTATCTCATTATCAGGTTATAAATAGGCATTCTCATTTCTCTTTTTGTCCTAGTGACTCTGTTTTCAGAATTCTGCAAAAGCGTCGTCTATAACCCATGTTCAGCTACATCAATTCTCTATTTGAAATGTTACAATGGTTCTCCATGGCTGTGATGCTTTGCAAAAAAACCCCACAACTTTTAACTTCTGTATCCACAGAAATTAAATGTATTTGAAATTTTCCTTGTTAACAAAAAAAGAAAAGAAAAGAAAAACAGTGAAGTCTTCTGTGTGAACTGCCTTCTAGACATCCTTTGGCCAGAGAATGTGCAAAATCAACTCTGATCTATTATTAAGTTAAATTATTTAAAAGATTTGTTTATTGACTATATATACAGTTTTCTGTCTGCATGTATGCCTGCAGGCCAGAAGAGGGCACAAGATCTCATTGCAGGTGATTGTGAGCCACCATATGGTTTCTGGGAATTGAACTCAGGACCTCTGGAAGAACAGTCTGTGCTCTTAACCTCTGAGCCATCTCTCCAGCCCTTGTGTTAAATATTTTGAGAAATCTGGCTGATGGTCACCCACAATCTTGGAAGTCTGCAAGCTGCTGTGTAAACAAGCCAGGACATCCTAAGGAATTATACAAAGGTGTGTCATACTGTTAGTCATCCTAGCTGTCTTCCTCCTCTCAGAAGCTGAGGTTCCTGGACTGGTAACTGACCACATACACACGTCTAAGTTCAACTAGGACCAGAGAAGCCACTCAGTGGAGATCAGCCTAAACTGACAAACCACAGAAGCATAAGATAAATAAATCGTTGTCTTACCTCATTAAGTTTATGCTGATTTATTAAGCAGAAAATCATTCTTGATTAGAAAAACAATATTTAGAAGAAAAAACTGAGTGTTTCGTAATGGGGCACAACACAAGCTCTGCATCCCCCTATGTCTACCTAGGGAAATGTCATTTCTTCTTCACCTAGAACTGTGTACTTCAGTCATTCACGCTTTTGTTTCTCACCTCTGTGACATTCTTGGTACACACAGTTCTAGACATAGCCTCTTCTAGGAAATCTGTGTCAGCACAAGACTTCCTGGACAATGTTGTAGACACTGGCCCATTTTTTCTTCATTTTTTTAGACACAGATTTTTACATAGTCCAGGCTAGCTCCACACTTGCTGTCCTCCTGTCTCAACATCCTGAGTAGCCACTTAACCAGCTGGCACTGATTCGTTGACTTTCCTCTAAGTTTCTGGAGAAAAGAGTCCATGTTCTTCCTGGACTCTGTCTGTTAGACACACTGTAAGACATACAGTAAATGGCTACTACTTGGTTCAAGTGAATGAGTAAAACATCCTAAACACAAGAGTTTGCATGCAATTTAAATTTTTCAGAAATTCTCGAAACTTTGATGAGCAGAAATCCACCCATTTGCTCAGTTGGCTTCTAGATTTCACATAATCCTGGGCAGGACAGAGCAATTAGAAATTAGCTAAAGAACACTTCTTGGATAATTTCTTGCTAACTCCTTCTTGTCCACACTTATCCCAAGATGAAGGAACCCTATACACACACAGCTTGTATACACATACAGCTCAACTTCTCAATGCCAATGAGAAAACAGATTTGATCTCCCAGTCTAACAAAGACAACACTCCACAGAGTTTATCCACAAACCCTCATACATTCATAAATACACTTCAGTTTCTCTAATGAGAATGGATTTCATTTTTTCCAGGATAATAGCTAAATCCAAAGACAAAGTAAAAGCTACAGTGTAACCCCTTGAATTATTTCTTCCCAAACATCATTTCTTCCCCATACTCTGTTAAACGCTGGTGCTGCAGCAGACCCTCTCTTCACCTAAGGCAGACATGTTGATTCATTGGGGATACGTACAGATAAAAGCAGCCAAGAATGCGATGGCCAACAGCAGGAAAAGTGCCATCAGTAATGTGAAGAGCAGCGAGGGGCGGCCAGGCTTACTTAGAGGAGGGGTGGGCTTCACTTTGGGCGCTGGAAGGAGAACACAGTCACCTCATGAGTGATAAATTTCACCCTTGTTTCTGCTTTTCCTCGCCGTCTCCCTATTCTCCATGTCACATAATCACTAATAGTGTGACCATTTGAAATAATGGAAAAATAACGTCCATTGTAAAAAACATTACCAAATACAAAAAAGAACACACACTACTGAAATAACTGGTATTAATATTTTGAGATCTGAAAAATAATTTGAATATATATTCACAAAAACTCTTTGATCATATCCTTTCAGGAAGTTCTATTTTTTTTTGGTGGTGGGAGGTTTAATGGGCTAGGGACTCACTATGTAGAGCAGGCCGGTCTGCAACTCATTATGTAGACCAGGCTGGCCTCAAATCCTCGGTGATCCTCCTGCCTCTGCCTCCAGAGTGCTGGAATTATACCACACTGGCCCTTTCAGCAAATTTTAAAGGATGTACATATAGTATGTTTTCCCACATGACAACACAACGTAAGTACTGCCATCTGCCTGTGACTTTCCTTTTACACTGTCTTGTAAGTACATTTTCACACCACCATGTTTTCTTGGTGTTCTTTACTGTGGTTGCAGCAGGATATATTCTAATACCTCCCAGACTGTCTGAACACTAAAGATGCATATACAATAAAAGGTAAATTTTTCTAGTCATATTCCACTTCTTTAGGATATGGTCAGTCTGCTAGTCACTGACTCATGACTGGAAACCGTTTGCTTGATGAAGATAAAATAGAGTGGAGAGCACCTGCCTGCTGAGGGAGAGGTTCTGCTTTGATCTATACTATAAAAGAAAAAGTTCCTTCAAGATAAAAGCTCCACACACAGAAACAGTTTTCATAAAGTTACAATATACTGTCAAAACAGAGGGGAAAATTTCATTATTGAAAAGTATGATTTCATTTTCATTTTTATAAAGCAGGAAATGCTATATACAAGATATATATAAAAGAATGCAGGATACAAGGTATAGTTTCTGTAAATGGCAAGAGCTAAAACCATGGAAGCAAGCTTTTCTTTCCCACTAGAAAACTCTACAGCCCTTAAAGTCACTCTACAAACAATTCAATCCCCTGCGACTCCAGTAAAATCCCAGACATGAGCGCTGAGAAGATTAGTAACCAGCATCACCCAAAGTTTATTATTGACTCTTCCTTTATCCTTCCCCCTACATTAAGTCCAGAATTTTTTTTACCTGTAGCAGAAACTGAGTAGGTGCCTGAGGAGTTGGATTCATTCTTGAACTTCACTTCTGCATAGGTGATTTCTGAAGCCATATCAAGAAGAGTGAGACGTGCCTCACTCAGAAAATGCACTCTGTCTCCTCCCTAAAACTCGTGGTATGTGAGAACCAAACACGGCGATGAATTGTCATATCACACAATTATATATGAGAAGAGGTATTTCCAGATGTGATATACCACATGAGAATGAGAAACCACAGCACGGAATCACTCAGGCCACATACAGAGATGCAACATCTTCAAACACCAAAGTAAGAATCGTAGCGTTTGGACCTACTCAGCCTGATATGCAAATACTATAAAGTGGGAACTCAAAGGGGGAAGGAAAGAAATAGGAAGGAGGGGAGAAGAGGAACCACGCTGTTAGAGAACTCTGTCCTAAGACACTCTGAAGCAAACATAACTTCATGTGCTTCTGTATGCAAATGTGGTTTCAGACAAACCGGAAAACGTGAGCAAACACTTAAGACATGACAACATTCATTCTGACTGAACAGACAAGTTCTGACACCACATTCTAGGGGACCATTGTCCCCTCACCATTGTGTGGTCTCCCACTTTCCACTCAGCTGCCTCCAGCAGGGGGAAGGCAAAGTTCACATCCTGGTCCTTCTGAAGCTGCTCCTCTGAGCTCTCTGCTTCCCACTGTCTTCATAACTCACTCATGGGCACTCTCCACTCACTGGGCCACTGGCCACATCCTGACACAGCTCTGGTTAGCAGCTGTGGGAGGAGGCTGTCTCTCTCTTCATGCCTCTCCTCCCTTTTCCCTGAACTGCTCAGCACCAGCCTTGTGGGTTCACAGCACTGTTGGGAACAGTTGGGAGAATTAATGGATCACAATATACCAGAGGGGAACTTAAGCTAGTTACTGAAAAGGGCATCATTTAGTTCCTCCCACAGATGTCTTCCAACTCATAGCAACTTGCTCAGCCTTCAGTTCTTCCAAATATTTTCCTTCTTGAAGTCTCCTCTTGCACCTACAAATAAAAACAGCACATGCATGAACACCTACACAAACACACACATACACACACACACACAAACACACACATACACACAAACACACATATATACAAACACACACACATACACAAACACACACACACACACACACACACACACACACACACACACACACACACACACAATTTGTGTTTTTAGGTTTCTCTCCAGTTTGTATCCAAACATATTAAAATCCATGGGTGCACACTATTCGCTTCATTTTAGTGTAATGTTGCAGCAGGTTTCCTTTTATTTCCCAAATTTCAGCATTTCTAACCTACATATGTGACTGGAAAAAAAACTATGTTCATTATCTCTATTGTAGGCTCTCAAATGACAATCTCTTGGATGCTGCCCATCACTCTCCCACGTCCTCCACTAAGCTACCTGTCTCTCCAGCATGGGCTCCAGCCCTCAGGTCAAACCTTTGTCCCCTGAACTAATACCTTCCTCCCTTTAGCTGGATGTTCCCTCTCAGGGCCAGACACCTTGCTGAAGTTCTCACATCACGACGGAGGAAGCCTCTTCACCATGCTTGTGCAGACTCCTAGCTAGCTCTTGCATTTAAATTAACCCATATTTCTTATCTATACTTTGCCACATGGTTCATGGCTTGTTACCTCATTTTCTACAAGTCTTCCTTCCTTGGCAGCTGCCTAGTGTCTTCCCAGACTCTGCCCTCCTTCTTCCTGTATCTCTGTTTGGCTTTCCCACCCAGACTTATTCTTCTGACTATAGGTCAAACCAGCTTTTATCATCAGCCAATGAGATCAACACATATTCACAGAATACAGGATATCCCACAGCACCTCACAATGGGTTGGGAAGAGTTGACCCTGATGGCATGGGTATAGGGGAGCTGGCCCCACCCCTCACCTGAGGCGGGTGACCCCAGTGGCCTGGATGGCCCCAGCTCAACTACCACTCAGGCCCACAGCTGGGTCTGGGATTGGCTCACCCTAACATCTACTCCATCTGGTACCTGCTGGAGCTTGTGAAGGTACTGGTCCTGTGGAACAATAACTGCAGGATCTCCATGACACAGGGCACCCTCGGGATATCCAAGGGGAGTTTGGGTGAGGATCCAGTGATGAGAGCATACCTGAAACCAGAGGCCTTGACCAGACCAGTGACTCATTGCAATGAACATTTGCAAGTAAAGCTGATTGGACAAAAGGGGACACTGTGTGACACATTGAGGCTCCCAGTGCCACCAGGTTGAATGAAGAGATGTTGGGGAGGCAGGAAAGATGAAGGAGAGAAGATTTTTGTTTTGTTTTGTTTTTGTTCGGTTCTTGGGAGTTTTTGTTAGTTTTTCTTTTTGTTTGTTTGTTTGCTTGCTTGGTTTGATTTGATTTTTTTAAAATTTCATTTGGGGGGCTGCTATACAAGGGAGCAGAGGATATGGAGGGACTGTGAAGTGAGCAGAACTGAGGTACATGATATAAAATTCCAGAAGATTCAGTAAAGAAATTATGTTAAGTATAAAAAAGAGTAATAGTTGTCAGTATTTTGATATAAATCTTTCCAATAAGTTAAAGCTTTTACATTTTACGCAACCAGAACATCATAAATAGTGATTTCTGACTATCATTTTATCTTAATTTTTCCTCATGAATTTTTTTTAATGATTTTTTTGTTTTTATTTTTAGAGAGGGTCTTTGTATGTACCCCAGGCAGACCTTGAATGCATTATGTAATCCAAGCCAGCCTCAGTCTCACAGAAACCCTGTCTAGGCCTCCTGAGTTTTGTGACTAAAGACTTGTGCCAGCACATCTGGATGAACATTATTCTATGTCATCATGTCTTCTTTATCATTGTTATTATGATTGCATAGTATTTTATTATATACTCTTAAAGTCTTCCAGCTTGCTTCCAACTTCAAATATGCAATAGTCAAGAAGTCATATTTTGTGAAAAAGTCACCACGTTTTTAAGTCACCACTTCTTTTTTTTTTTTTTTCGTTTTTTTTTTTTTTTTTCGAGACAGGGTTTCTCTGTGTAGCTTTGCGCCTTTCCTGGGACTCGCTTGGTAGCCCAGGCTGGCCTCGAACTCACAGAGATCCACCTGGCTCTGCCTCCCGAGTGCTGGGATTAAAGGCGTGCGCCACCACCGCCCGGCAAGTCACCACTTCTTAAAGAGTTACAATACTTCCCAACCATGGGTGAGGTCCTGGGTTCTGTCCCTATCACAGGAGGGAGAGAGTGAAGAAGATACTCAACACCTGGATGCCAACAGACTATGACATGTCACCGGATAGAGGGGGAAATCAGTGTGCCATGGTTTAACTTTGAAACAATTTGTTACACATTTTTATTTGTGTTTATATGTAGAAAAGATACAATAACGTGGGTGGTGGGATTTTCTCTAGATGGTAAAAGACAGCACCTTCTCTTCTCCATTGTACAATCCCACAACCTTTCACATCTGTCTATAGGCAGCACACTTGGTTGAGACTCCTGTGACCCAGAGGCATGGCCAGCATCTAAGATCATCTGTCTTTGTCCCTCACTTCATCACTCACTAGGAGCAGCAGAAAATGCTTTCTTACCGGGAGGAGAGTCTGCATCCATGTCTGAGGAATCAAATTTATTCATGAGGTTCTTGTTAATATAAATGTTTTCTGAAAACGTGTTGAGAAGAAAACTTCCCCTGCCCTCAGCAGATGTGTGCCATCCCTTCCTTAAAACAGGTCCTAAGAACCAGCTCAGCAGCACTCAAGGGCTCACAGAGACTCAAGCTGCTATCATAGCACCTTCATGGGTCTGCACTAGGCCCTCAACATACAAGCTGGGGTTGTTTAGCTCAGGGTTGTTGTGGGACTCCTAACAGAGCGCATCGGGAGTCTCTGTCTCTTCTACCTGCTCTTAGGACACCTCTCCTCCTAGTAGGTTGCCTCATCGAGCCCTGATATGAGGATTTGTACTAGTCTTATTGTATCTGTTATGCTGAGTTCAATTGATATCCCTGATAGGCTTGCTCTTCTCTGAGAGAAAACAGAGGAGCAATGGATCTGGGAGAGAGGGAGGTAGCAGGAGACCTGGGAGGAGTGGAGGGAGGGGGAGCTATGGTCAGGATATATTATATGAGAAAAGAATGGTTTTTTTTAAAAAGAACAGAAATACACAATATGAAAAAATTCTCTAAACAAGAAACAGCAAATTGTCTTGCTATCAGCTAGGCGATGAGAAGCACTTCACAGAGAGCTGCCCTGAGTGTGCAGCATGAGGTCCAGTTCCCTGCCACACATTTCCTTCAGACACAGGGCCTGGAAAATTGGACTATGACCTAATATGACTAAATAAACAGGATTTTTTTCTTGTCTCCAATTCCTGTTGAACCAATTGTAATAAATAATGAATGGAAGTCCTGATAAAGTGAACCATGCTATTTCTAGATGCTGCACTCCCCAGACTGTGTACTGTGAATCAGAATACAAGTTTAGAGGTGGAGGGTAACATTGTAAAGGATGTAAATCATGGGTAATTCCATCTGAAGTACAGAAGCACCTGGGTGAGTAAAAACCACTGAGGCATCTCCAGAAACCAGGGCACCCTATCCTTTTGTGTATCTGCTAGTACTACTTGTATAGAGGGTATCAGTTGAAGCCTAGTGCTTTTAGGAAATAGAATAGCATGCTTTGGGTTTGGAGAGATGGCTCAGAGGTTAAGAGCACGGACTGTTGTTCCAGAGGTCCTGAGTTGAAGTTTCTGGAAACACAGAGTAGCTCACAGTCATCTGTAATGAGATCTATCGCCCTCTTCTGGTGTAAAGGCAGAACACGGTACACATAATTAATAAACAAAGCTTTTTTAAAATTGTATGTTTTGATGCATAATAAACAAGTTTACTGGAAGAAAAATAATTATCAATTTGAAAAGGATATATAGGAAAAAAACGGTGCCAAGTCATCCAACGGGTTTAACAAAAATTGTAATAGTTTTTTATCACAAGGAATATAAATTTAAAGGGTTAATCCAATTTTATAATTATGCAAATAGATCTTCTAGCATTCTGTGATTTTTAGCAGAGAGGGAAATAGCATCCATATAATGCATAATGAAAGAAAGGAGGAAACAGCTTTCTAACACTCCCTAAAGTGGTAGCAACAAACTTTTGGCACATTTGAGGCACCGTATGTCCCAGAAGGCAGAAGCCAGAGATAACCCTTAAGAAGATGAAGTTCTAGCCAGAGCAATAAGACAACATAAGGAGATTAAGGGGATACAAATTGGAAAGGAAG